ACGTCAAAACTATCGAGCATCTGATACTGTCGTGATAACTTGACATTATCATTGACTTTATAGTTGGAAGTTATCTAATACATTGAGCCGAAATACGAATGTACGCTGTCGTATGTGGTCATCACAGGACAAGTGTGACAACCACAGGACTAGAAAAAGCAATGTTTTATAACAAGTTTTTTCAACGGCCTAATTTGCTTCATAGTTGCGAAGAGAATTTTGTTAATAAAGTAATGGTGGTGCTCCGTGGAATTATATTTTTAATGTGCAGTTAACTGCTGCTTGTGCGCCAAAATTAACTAAACGGTTTCTCGCCTTTCTACTGACGCAGTGGCTTACATATATTATAGGGTGACGTGTGAAACATTGGAAATAATATCAATGCATTCAACAAATATATAATATAACGGGTTCAGCGTTTATTAGGCCGGTCGCTGGTTCTTAACATTGCAAAACGTCCGTAGCTTGTTGCGGGCTTGAACTAGCAACTCACTGCTTCAATTTTGCTGTAACCGCCCGGCCTCCTCGCCGATTCTGACCAGAAACTGGCGCACAGAGCTGGGATCGAACCCGCGCCTCTCTCCTGCAATCTTGGGACTTTGAACTTCAACCACTGGGCCACCCTTTTCAGGAGTTTAACCAATAACAAGTTCAAAAATCGAGATTTATTTTTCGTAAAAGAAATTTCGCTAACCTACCTTTAACATGAATATTCGCTCAGAAACATCTGGTAAAGATGAATTTCAAATATTTTCATGTTTATGTTAGTAAACAAATGAACAAAGCAAGATGTTATCAGATTAGATACGTCCGAATCCAATATTGCTACTGATGATGCCGAATTTCAACGATGGTATAAAGCAGTTTATGATCACAAAGTTTTTTATGAGAGAACATTTTTGTTTTCTGTATAAAAATTTCGAACATATTCTATCGCAAAATTTGGAATTTATTAACACGGTTGGACTCTCTAAAAGAAACGAAAACTGGATTAGCAGTCTAATGATGTATAAAAACCGTTTGTATTGCCTTTTACTTCAAGGACTCGTTACCTACATTTATTTCAAATATCTTTTAGTTCTTAAGTTTCTTTGAGTGATATCAAGAAAGAGAACCTGTTTCGAGTTTTTTTCAGTAACACACTTCGAGAATCTATTTAGCCCATGAACATGCTTTTTACGCCCACGAAGCTAGTAAGGTAACATGGGGCAGCGGGCCCCCCTTATTTTAAACCAAATTTTTGAAGAAGAAGTTTCAATTGATACGAGGTTGTTCGTTGTTTTGTTTAAAGTTACAACTAATGAGGAATGTATGATGTGAATTACACGCCTATAGAGTTAATAAATTTTTTATGAAACACTGTTATGTAAAAAGTGTCAAAATGGGCCCGTTGCCCCACCCCCGGGGCAATGGGCCCATGGGCTTGGTGCAAGGCGCCCACTCCTTTTCCCTTTACCCAAATTGCATATATTTTGTTTAAAAATGATAAAACAGCACTCGACAGTTCAAAATAAGACAAATGTAATAAAAAATATTACATTCATTCATTTATTAACAACTAAAAAAATTAAATCCTTAACTTGAAAAATAATATATAATTGGCTTAAAAAAAATCTGTCACTGACGTGAAAAAAATATTTTCTTGGCATAAAAATACATATCCTTGACTTGAAAAATAAATCCTGGCCCCAAAAAATTAATCCTTGACAAGAAAAATGTATCCTTGACTAGAAAAAATATATTTACTTGATCAGAAAAAAAACTTCGTTCCAATTTCGTCCATAATCCAGATAATATGTGCAAGGAATTCGTACTTAATCGTGATTTCAGCCAACACAATAAAACTCATCAACTTTTGGCTCATTAGTGTTGGCTGAAATCAACTTACGGCAAGGCATGAGTCAATAACTCGATACGGGGTCATAAATACGCATAATTAGAAACTAGAACCTGCTGCCTTGAGGCGGCAAATAAAAAAATTGTACAAATGAAGTGTAATTTGTAATTTAAAAAGCTAGTCATAGTTAGAAGAGCTCATTGAGACAAATCTAATGATTTATAACACAAGAAATCGCCGAGAGGACTTGAGTCCACCATGGGCGCTTTGCCCCGTGACACGCATGGGCACATTGCCCCACTAGGTATCATTNGGTATTAAGTTCCTCAAGGTAATTTACACTTTAAAAGTTCACTGTTTGATTAAGTCTGCTACCATCAAGATGCCATCGCCCTGAGCCCATATTTTAATCACAAGTTGGAGAACATAAACGACTAAATTGCTTCGATTTGAGCTAAGTTTAGCTGCGGGAATGAATTTCAATTCCAACTTCCAACATTGAACTTCAATTATTCGAACACAGTTAGAGGCATCACGACTCGTTGAGAGCTGAATATTTGGTTTGCCTATTGAATTGGGAAAATAAAAATAATAAGAGATGAGTGCATAGGATTTTTATCCAGCTATTTACAGGCAGTTCCAACAATGAAAAAGCGACTCGCAATAACGTGTTTTTTTTACAGTCTTGTGTGTTTCATCGTTGTCACGAGAATTTCCAAGGAAATTTTACTATATACTTCCTCTGTTTATACATGGTTTAAATCTGCCATATAAATTGCCATCTAGCGAAAGTAGCAGCAGAGGTGACAAAGCAGTTAAAGATCGACGGAATAATCGGTTGGTAAAACAGTTTATAAAAAATTAACATATCAACTTGCAATAATTTTTTACCAGGAGTTATTTGTTCTGCATAGTAAACTGTACCAGTACGAACTAACCATTAATTATCCTTTGGAACATAGGCAGCCAAGCATACATAGCATAGCAGGCCAAGCGGGGTGTGCAGTGCACACCCCGCAGAATAGTTTTCCAGCTCTCTAGAAAAATTTTATTCTCTTTATTTATTATTCCATGCTGCGTTGCAACGTAATCAGAATGTTCATAGGACGCCTTAAATAGAGCTTTAATTCACAGCCAATTTTCCCGTTTCCAGAATTTACTGGTTGTTTATACGCTGATTAGACCGGTGCATGAATTATTACTGCTGGGTATAGTATAGTATAGTATCTTCGGCATTAAAGAAGTGTAAATATAATATTATTCATTACACAAAGTTATCGCCAAGGCTACCAAGTCATCCCGCGGTTCTGTTACCCGATTCGTTCCTTAATTTATGGAACAACAGCCTTATGTACTATGAAATTAATTCATGTTTTAAGCGTACCAGTATTTCATTTCGGAAAATACCCACTTGCAATTTGTTCACTATAGTATTTTTTGTACAGATATAAGGACATGAAAGCATGAAAATGTATAATAAAATATGATCACGAAAGTTCATATTCGTTATTTTTACTTGTAGTGTCTAACAGTGATAACTCGGCATGTGTTCCGCTCCTCGGCATGTGTTCCGCTCCTTGGCATGTGTTCCGCTCCTCGGCATGTGTTCCACTCCTCGGCATGTGTTCCGCTCCTTGGCATGTGTTCCGCTCCTTGGCATGTGTTCCACTCCTCGGCATGTGTTCCGCTCCTCGGCATGTGTTCCGCTCCTCGGCATGTGTTCCGCTTAATGCCTGGAAGAAAAGTTTTGTTTAAAGCCAGGCCACACTCACCTCATTCAAAAGTCGATCCATAAACACGCCTCAAATGGGTGAAATATTTCACGTATATGACGTGAAATCACGTATATATTATTTGGATATTACTGCATGCATTGATTTTAGCGTTTTCTTGCACAATTATGTCTTCAACATATGTATATGCCTATCAAATTCCCTTTCTGTCGTTTATGTAAAAATTTGGCGTAGAAATGCATTTCATAGTGCTGAATCGAACCATGGTTTTATCCGTATATGCAGTTTAAAATAATCGGCAGGCCTCATTAAAGTTAATTATTATTTATGGTTCAAGGTTAAAATAATTAATAACATAATTTATTTGTTTTATGGATCGCGTATAAATTCTGAATGTGTGAGTTTAAGATGTGTTTGATGCTCCACAATTGTGCCGAAAAATATCTGATTATTAAGCTTTGCTATAGGCAGTTCAAAGATGTGAAGAGAAGTACTAGTAAATAGGCAAATCCTAATTGTGAAGTTATCAATTTGCCTGTACACAGAAGGGTAAATAAACGTCGTCAGATCCTGATAAAGGAAGTGAAATAGTTCAGTGCTGCATCATAAGCGCGTGATGCGGGAAGAAAACCCTCGGTACTTCTTGAGTCTAAAAATTTGAAAAATAATCTAAAATTACATATAAAATTAAAACGTGACCCATAAGCCAAGCTTCATCTGGACCAGATACATACACGCTTTTCTAATCTACTTCCATTGAATTAAATACTAACGGTGATCGATGGAGTCCAAATGCCATCGTCCTTGACTACACGTGGAACTTTCAACCCTTGATTACCTTCATCAACTTAAAATCTGACCACATGTAGATTTTTGATCATTTTTGACCAAGCGTATAATCGGATTGAAATTTACCATGACTGCACATTTAAGGATGTGGGTAGTAAAATTTTGGAAAATCGAGAAAACATCCTAACTCGACTCATGCACATGAATGTACTAATATGCAACAACATCATTCTGTCATTATGGGTTTTAATGCATAAATTAACGATTTTATCCATTATTTACATTTCTATATACCTATAGATGAAATTTTCGTCTTTTACCATCTGACTGATTTACTGATCCTAGGAATCGTTTTCGAGTTCAATATCAGTAATTAAATTGTATATTAACTTTAACTAACAATGATGAGTGAAATCTGTTCGGACAATAAGTAAATCTGAACTGCGTGCAAGCTATCAGAACTTTGGTGCTCACCCCTGCTTAATTACATATCTAGTTCAAAACACACGTGCCAGCTGTATCGAATTTTGATTTAATTCCAAGTACTGTTCTTAGTTCCTTAGAAACTTTGGCCAATGCTCTAAAAATTTTATTTGTGTCGCGTGAAGGTTCAGTACACGTGTAAGACTTTCGACAGTCAATGTCTGGACGCGTTTACGGACGCTGCTTCAACGACGTCACGGCCGACTTCCTCTTCTAGAGACCTGCGATTGCGTCCAAGAAGCTTCGAGTCAAGAAAGAAATCCTGCGTTCGAGAAATTCTCTTTTAGAAACCAAACAGAAGATCAGAAACTTCAAACTCTCGTTTGCCATCACGATTAATTATTGGTCCAACCGACGAAGAAGCTCGAAAGATTTTCTTTCATTGAAGATCTGAACTTATCGATTCCCTGGATAGACATCTGCTTATACGATCCGTTATTAATAAGCTATATAGTTACTTTCTGTCTAAGTATAGGTACTCTACCGGAGAATATCTGAATACAAAGATGAAAGTGAGTAAATATTTTCAAGAATTCCTTATGTTGCTGGTGGTGCTTGAGCGCGCTACTGGTCTACAAGTTTCCAACCTTTTCTCCAAGGTGAGATATGATTAGGTATTCCTGATAAGCCTGTGACTAAATAAGTAGTTTATGTTGGATTTTCCAAAATTTTTGCTTTTTCATCATGATATGAATTGACTGTCATGACTTAGTGGAAAATTTACTGATGATCCATATAAAATGGCTGTTATCAGTTGAGACATCATTAGTTCATGGTTATCAATAGTTTGCTGAACGCATAAATGGAATAAAAGGTGAGCAAATATTTTCAAGAATTCCTAATGTTGCTGGTGGTGCTCGAGCGCGAATCTATTTCGTGAGCAATAGCTGATACATATAGCCTCCATCGATAACATTTTCTATTATAGTTACGTTTTTTTCCATTAATTTAGTACTTAACGACGAATTAGGCTTTCGACCTTATACCTCAACAACTAACGTGCTATCATCCATAAATGAAATGTCATTTAACGAAGAGTGAGAAACTGACACTGATTTTTTAATGGACGATACGAATTTTATCGCTATCCTAGTTATTGATGAACCGCTCACCATCCATCAGGTACTTGGGACTACCATTGATAATAACTGTCGTCTGGCGCTGCAAGTGCCTGCCTCAACCAAGTTTCTGGGTCTACGTGGCGCCTGCAGCCTCATGTGCATGCAAAATAAAAACTGTCGCTTCTTCTGCACCCTCAAAAGTAAGCAACTCATTTCGATATTCTTGCTAATAAACTCGTAATTTATTAGAATACTTAACGCTTTGATGGTTAACTTTGAATAGATATTTTACGGAGGATCAATTAACCGGCACTAAAATTACATTCATGCCCATGCAAAAGAGACCAGTACTTCTCAAATTGCTCAGCGAGTTGCGTGTTTAAAAGCATACTCGCAACTATTTTTTTTATAAATCGTATGAAGTTATTCGTCAAGATAACGTTACATGACAAATGAAATAATTTGGTTTTTCGACAATGAAAACTAATTCTCACTGCCGAATATTCATAATAGCAGATGTTGCAGGCCTCGTAGGCCATATCTCTTTGAATGTCTTCTTTTATTTGATTATCAATGTATTATAATCGAGTAGAAACTATTAAATTAATGCCTAAGAAAGACAAACATCATCTCTGGCGAAACAAATATTCACTTTATTCGTTTTAGATTCTATGAGGTGCGCGCAAATTGTCCAAATTACGTGAGTTATTATACAGAATTGAATTTTTTAGCGTACGTGAATATTAGCTCCCTGGGTCAAATGCGGAACACTATGAAAGACATTTCAAGTGAAAATATTACAAACATTCGATTTATCATAGTATCTACAGTTTTGGATGAGATTCACTTACAAGAGGTAATAACTTTTTGTATTTATACTGCTTGTACAAATGCATTTTGTTTGAAAATTCGATCCATTAGCGTCTATCTAAGGTAAATAAATTTTTCCTTACTGAGAGATTTTCCACACAAGAGGAATATTTGTATTCATTTTGATCCCTATTTATGAACATAACATGTGAGGTGGATTCACGATTATTAACATAAATAGTAAGTTCCCTGTGAAAATTTACAGACGCGGCAGCTTCTGATTTGGATTACCAGAAGCTGCGGGCGACTCTAAATTTTGTTAGGGTTACTCCTCTAAGCGAATCCATTGGCGTCTTCTGAGCAAACGAAACCTGTGTGTTTTTCTATCCGTTTGTTTTAAGCCATAAACTAATTATTGTACTTATTTACTCTGGGAACAGGCACGGGTGCGTGCGCTCTGTATAGTGCTTATGTGGCCGTGCGCTGGCCGGGCCAGGTAGGTGTAACTTACGATGCTTGTTACACCTCATGGGGAGACCCTCGTGACATCTTGAAGACAAACTCGCCCTTCAACTTCTCCACTAATTATCCTACTTTCCATGACAACTACATCCATGCCACCGATGGATACTCCTGCAGTGAAATCCAGAACCGTTTCGGGACGGAACTTAGAAGCAACAGCTACTCACAGATCGACTTGGAACAAATCACTCGAGTACAGACAGTTATCTTCGCCACTGCGAATTTGGGATTCTTGGAAGACGTGGATGTGTACCTCAGCAACACAAGTGACTTCACAATTGGGGAGAAAATCGGTCGCGTTGACGGTAAGCCGCCGGGATGGTCATCGATCACCATCAGCACCAACACCAGCGTTGCAGGACGGTACATCACTTTCTTCATGGCTGTAAACAATTACCATGGCTACGCCGAGATCCAAATTATTCCACTTCCTTGAGCCTTTTGTTTCCATTTTACGGAGGGCAAGCTAAATCTACAAATCATGTGGGGGACCTTTTTGACATCGTGGCTATGAGCTCGCCCTTAAATTTCTTCAGTAATTATGGCGCATCCCGAGCCAACTACAGGCAAAACACCGATGGATACTCCTGCGTATCTACCGCTGATCGCTTTGCGACGCGGTTCTTATTAGCCTCACGGCTTCTTGCAGATAGACCAGGAACAGATCACTCGAGTATACTGACAGTAATTGTAGCCACCGCTGAACCCACCTAAATTTGGGACATGGATGTGTTCCTCAGTAACAAAAGTCACTTTACACTTGGAAAGAAAATGGGTCGAGTTGGCGGCTATCCGCCTGCATGGTCGTCGTTTGCTCTCAGCGCCAACACCAAGACGGTACATCTCGCTCTTCTCTGCACGATCTCATTACCATGGCTACGCCGAGATCCAAATTATTACACTTTCTTTTGCATGTCCAGAGCGATTAAAGGATGGATTTTAATATAAAAATGAAACAAAATTAATGAATTTAAAAACATTGCCTCAGTTGAATAAACTTTTTTCTTGTACTGTTACAAAACAACGTATCAGATGACTTTGGAAGATGTTGCTAACTTGAAAAATTTATAAGCGAGTTACAGTATTATGCAGAAAGGAAAAGATAAAATCATTTACCGCATTAATGTTTTTTCCTCCACATACTTGGCATTCATGCAGGTGCCAGCTTTTAAAAATTTTACTGAGTCCCATAAAGAAGGATAATTCTGACTTGCTCCTTAATGATCTATTAACAAAACGTAGTAATATAGACTTTGAAGGAAATAGGCCAGGTTGGCCTATCGCCGATTCTAATAGTGTTCATGTCATTAATGACCTTTTGACCAAATCTATTCAAAATTGACGTTGAAGCTAAGATGCTGCTGAAGATCCACCACTTTATCAGATGACTGTCACTTCTAGTCGAAATATGTACTCCTGAATAGCTTCATCTAGTCTATTCCGTAACGCATTTATACTCGGAGCGCCAATGATGCAAGCAGGGAGGTAGATCCAAATGTCCGTTATTCCAAGCGAGAAGTGGTGTCGCATGGATGAGTTGCACCGGAGGAGGGAAAATTCGTGACATCGATGAAATTTTCTAGCATTTTGTGACGTTTGGAAAAATCGATAAATTCTGGCTGATAATGGTGTTCGTGTCTGATTAAATTAGATGTATATCTCTTCAGTTTCAAGTCGTGCACATGAACCACTTGTTTATCAACATTTATATACTGGGAATCTAAATAATCGAGATCAAAATACACTGGTGCACGTCTCATCAATAGAAGATGATTTGTTCTCTTGACGACGCATTATCACGCAGAGCTCGCCTGACGCTCGGCCAGAGCGAAGGTAGCGATACCCGTTCTATTGATTTGCTTCTACTTGCACTGAGTGGCCAATTCAATCCACGTGTCATAATAATTGTTACTTATTACCGTTGGTCTAGGATGAAGAGCACAAGTGTATTTTTAAGTATTATGCGTGTAATAGATTTAAAAAAAACTTCATTACGCCGTGTGAGACGACTATGGGAAGTTTAAGGAGTGATTAAAAACATCGCGAATTCTGTGTGTGAATCCTGTTTTTCATGCAAAAGTCGTTAATAAAAAGGTACTATTAAATTTACACAATGTAACAAGTGTTGCGATTTAGTTCGCGTCATTTTAAACACTGAATAAGAGAAATATTTTTTATTTGATCGAGGTCACACCAAACGAATATATTTCTGAAGAACGTTTCAGGGTTCTTAGTGGGCATGAATAGAGCAATTTGACTTTAAATCACTTTACACTTCCACCACTGCACACCCGAATTTATTATTGGCACTCAGTGTGGTTACGCACTTTCAGAAAAGCAAATAAATCAAAATAAGAGGGAGTCAGCTTGAGATGGATGCTTCGGAATGAAATATTTAAGTAAAGTTAAAGTATTGCATTGAAATAAGGCAAATTAATAAAGCGACAGCAAAAGCCAGTAATAATAATATAGCTTGTATCAGTGCTGTCAAATATTGGTTTGATCAAGTGGAAATTCAAGTGGTTAATACGATTGAGCTAAATATTTCGAGTTAATGGCACACCATACTCTGGCACACCAAAATAAGGTAGAGGTACAGCAAAATATCTCTGGTGAAGATATCTGAGAATATCAACCATGTGAAGATTTTTGATAATTTTTGACCGAGCGTATAATCGGAGAACTTAACTCAATCTTCCGAACTGGTTTCCAGTTCTATACCTACAAAATCTTGAAGTAAACATACCTTAAGCTAATCTTAACATTTCCTCAACATGACTTAAGACATTAGTCTGTACCTGAATTTTAGTGTCACAATGGTTGACAAAATTTATTTATCTATTCGAATGTTTCAGAAGATATATTTGCAAATTTATGGGTTATTTGGTTCAATTTAGTTATCACTGTTACACGCTACTACTAAAAAACTAAAAATAACGAATATGAACTTTCGTGATCATATTTAATTATAAATTTCCATGCTTTCAGGTCCTTATATGTGTACAAAAAATACTAGTAAACGGATTGCAAGAGGGTAATTTCCGGAATGAAATACTGGTACGCTTAAAACATGAATTAATTTCATTATACATAAGGCTGTTGTTCCATAAATTAAGGAACGAATCGGGTAACAGAATTAACCGCGGGATGACTTGGTAGCCTTGGCGATAACTTTGTGTAATGAATAATATTATACCCAGCAGTAATTCACCGGTTGAATCAGCGTAAAAACAACCAGTAAATTCTGGCAATGGGAAAATTGGCTGTGAATTCAAGCTCTTTTTAAGGCATTCTATGAACATTCTGTTAACGTTGCTAGGCAACATGGTATAATAAATATAGAGAATAATTTTTTTCTAGAAAGGTGCAAAAATATTCTGCGGGATGTGCACTCCATGCTTGGCTGCCTATGTTCCGAAGGGTAATTAATGGTTAGTTCGTACTGGTTCAGTTTACTATGCAGAACAAATAACTCATGATAAAAAAGTATTGTCGGTTGATTTTTTTTATAAATTGTTTTACAACCGAATATTCCGTCCATCTTTGACTGATTTCTCACCTCTGCTGCTACTTTCGCTAGAAGGCAATTTATATGGCGGGTTTAAACCATTTATAAATAGAGATTTAAACCATGTATAAAATTGGAAAATCTCATCGCAACGATGAAGCACATTAGACTGTAAAAAACCACGTTATTGTGAGTCGCTTTTTCATTGTTGAAACTGCCCAAAAATAGCTGAATAAAAATCCTATGCACTCATCTCTTATTATTTTTATTTTCCCAATTCAATAGGCAAACCAAATATTCAGCTCTCAACGAGTCGTGATGCCTCTAACTGTGTTCGAATAATTGAAGTTCAATGTTGGAAGTTGGAATTGAAATTCATTCCCGCAGCTAAACTTAGCTCAAATCGAAGCAATTTAGTCGTTTATGTTCTCCAACTTGTGATTAAAATATGGGCTCAGGGCGATGGCATCTTGATGGTAGCAGACTTAATCAAACAGTGAACTTTTAAAGTGTAAATTACCTTGAGGAACTTAATACCGCTACATATGTTCCTACTAATCTTTTCACATAGTTAATATTTTCGATTCTATTGAAAAAGTTAATATATTAATTCTGAACATTCATTACCATTGTGCATGTAAACAATAATGACTTGTTGATAAAAACTTGATAGCCTGATCCGATGATTTTTGTCTGATAATTATTAATAAGTCATTGGAGTGACACTTAATGAATGAAGACAATAATTTTGAAAATTCTCTAACGCTATGACTACAATCATGTGCAATTACTAAGATACTCGTATTAATTATACCGCTAATATGAACAATAATAGCTGCCTCAAAAATGCCACGAAATTTCATGTTTAATTGAAACGTTTGCCATGAACACATGAAAATCTGTATAGGTATTTTCTTTGTTTTAAAGTTCTTGTTCAATCGAATTACATAATTACCTCTTCATGAGAAAATCACATGATCTGATTATACGGTGAATAAAGAAATAAGGCTGGGAGTTCTATCATTGATTCATCAGAGCATGCGTCTCTTGTATCTGATTCGTTCTGATTGGCGTGTGTGATTTTCGAACATGCAGTAGATCTCTAGCATTCATTTCAGCAGTTTGCAAATATTTGAGCCAGAATTTAAAAACAAGGAAAATTTCTAGTAAACTCACGTTGTCTTCGCCAAAAATTTTTTGGGGACCAGCTCCATTATCGGTACGAAAAATTAGAGCTTGCAAATAGAATCAATGTAGGAGAGCCTGAGTTTTCGGATTGAAAAAATTAAAAAAAACAAGAATTGAAAAAACACTATCTCTTTTGTGAAATTGAATGAAGCTTTTTTCTAGTGATTGCACTTTTTTCTCTAATTTTTCAACTGACGATTAAGCTGGCCTCTGAATCGTTTTCGATGAAGATTTTTGAACTTACCTGTCGTTAAAATTGCCTCTAAATTCAAAATTATTGGTCCTAAAAAACTTGGCATTTACTCAATTGATTTGAGGCTACCGCCCAGAGTTGTCAATGAAAGTTTCTTCCGTTCGATCTGAAAGTTTGGTAAAATTAAGAGCCCTTGAAAAACGACACCGTATTTACATTTCTCGAGATAACCGATTATATAAATTTCATTTAATATTGCTAATTAGATTGTCAAAGAATATTAATTAGGTGTAGGTCCTAAATAATATTTACGGGCGTTGTCATATCGACTATTGACATTTGCAACTTCTTTAACGAAATTTGAACAATATGACGTCACTGCAGTTATGAATACTGTATACTGTATGTAATCAGTTTACAGCGCCCGCCTACAAATTTAATAATCCAAGTCGCCTTAAAACTTAGATAAATCTGTGATTTGGTACGCTAATAATTGTTACTTCAATGATCGTTCGACGACGTCATGTAATTTTGTACATTTTACGCCTTTAATCAATTTTAAATGTTCACCATTCGTCATATTCGATTAGATTTATTTGACATTATAAACAAGATAATTTTCGCAGTTAATGATTGAAAAAGAATGCGGTGATTGAAAGTTAACATAATGTTTCCTTGAATTGTTTTAATAATAGCTTAATGAGTGTATAAAGCTTATTCATGAGCTAAATAGATTCTCGAAGCGTGTTACTGAAAAAAAAACTCGGAATATGTTCTCTCGTTCTTGATATCACTCAAAGAAACTTATGAACTACAAGATTTTTGAAATACCTGTAGATAACGAGTCCTTAGAGTAAAAGGCAATACCAACGGTTTTTATTCATCATTAGACTTCTAATACAGTTTTCGTTTTTTCTAGAGAGTCCAACCGTGTTAATATATTGCAAAGTTTGCGATAGAATATGTTCGAAAAATTTTCTAAAGGAAACAAAAATTTTCTTTGATAAAAAACTTTGCGAACATAAACTACTTTATACCATCGTTGAGAATCGGCATCATCAGTAGTAATATTGGACGTATCTAATCTGATAA